GCAGAGCACTGGGGTATGCAATGATTCCCCGCCCCCCCACAGCCACCCCGCCTTTACAGAGCAAGATTTAACTAACTGTGGGACTTAGCCAGCTCTCCTCTATTGGAGGGCCACGGGGGCCACTGCAGCTGTGCCACTGCCTTCTAAGTCGGGGCTTGGCTTCTTCTCAGAGACACTGTGGCATGGAGAGACTTCTCTAACAAGTTCCCAAATACCCTGAATTAGTCAGCCATTGCTTCTCTAGGCCAAGGCCTGCTGCTTGAGGATAAAGTCCAGTAATCTGTAAGGTAACACGAAGATTCCTTCACGTGACAACTGCATGTGCAGCTACGCCCAGTGCCTCACTAAAGTTTGTGCAATGGAAATACTGATCCAGAGTCAAGTGTGACAACATTCTCCTGTCCTTCATAAGAGACAGAAGGGGTCAGGGGAAGATGGAGGAAGTAGAAAGACTCCAAGAAACAAGGGATGGGGGGAAGAGAGAGAACTGCTGTCCAAAGCAAGCAGGAATGGGGCTGGGTGGGGAACGGACGGAGAGGGCTCTGGAAAGAGGCAGGGGTCGGCCAGTTCTGGTAGGGTGGAGCACACTGATCTTAGGGTGTCAGCTACTGGGGGCTGGGAAATGACGGGATAGAGCAGGCTAACTGTAGTTCCCCGCACGTATGGTGGCGGTGTGGTCAGGCATCTGCGACACACGGAGCCCTGGAGAGCTCGTCTGTAACACTGGAACCTGTCGAGCCTTGCGGGTGGCCATCTAGGGGAAAGACCTGTGCCCCGACCCCAAAGCGACAAAGCAACCCCAGACATCAAGAAATAAGAGAAGCCGATCAAAACACCGCGGGGTGGGCCCCGGGCTTGGACCTCACAGGGAAGACGGCCAGGGAGATCTCAGTGAGTTCCCAGAGATGCCAGAGACACTGAAGCAGCACAGAGCGGAGCGGGGAGGTGGTTTCTCCAGGAAACGAACAGGCTCCTGCCAATGAAGGCATCGACAGTGCCCCTCCGAGGGGTGGACTGGACCAGACCATGTCTTCTCTCTGCAGTCAACCCTCAGAAGGCAGGACCCACTTAGGGATGAGAAACTGGGGGTGCGGTGAGAGAGCACCTCAAGGGTGGAGACTGGCAGGAAAGAAGGCAAAACGAACGCTCCAACAAAGACCAGCAAGTCGGGCCTCAACTCTGCAATCATGTGTTTTTCCTGGATCATTGATTTGCTCGCCCAATCACACATAACGCTTTTCACCTCCGGTGAGTGCACACCGGGACTCTCCCCGCTGGCTCCTGGGTCGCTGCCACCCACACAGTCCCTGCGCAGGTTCCCCAGGCACTAACTACGCCATGGTTTGTATTTAGCACACATTTCTCCTTGATGAGACTCCACTGAGGTGTCTGTGGGACTGGTACTTTGGGGACACAGACAACTCTAGTCCTGGCAAGGATTCATCAATGGGAAGTGGGTGTGGAATTCACCCTCCAGGCCACACACCGCTGTCCGTCCCGTATTCACACACAGTGATTTTCCTTCTTTCTGGGGGACCCACACCTCAACACCACCTTGCCCCCTTACTCTGGGCCACATTCCATGCCAACTGGACCAGTGTCCAGTGCGCCTTCTCCTCAGCCTGCCTTCGGAGACATTTCTCCTTCAGCGCACCCACACAGTTCTCGAACAACACAACACGTATCTTTTGCCCTCCGATTCCTCTTACAGCGCGTCAGGAGGTCTGGCTGGTTACCTCGATCACGTCAATCCTCGGGATCCCGACGACCTTGACATCACAGTTGCTCCTCCACGCATCTCATGGCGCCCTCAAACAGTCACCCAGGGAGCAAGTGGCAGCCTTGGGCCTACCCTGTCAATCAACCTTGTGTGCAGAGAGGGGAGGTGGCAGCCCTAGAGGCAGGCAGGGCCTGGGAGGGCCCCAGGAGGCCTCCATCCGGAAAACTGCTTTCGCTGCTAACCTGCCACTTATCAGCTCCCCTCAACCTGACCCCAATTTCCCCACAGACTTAACAATTTTGGTTTGAAACATAGGGCTCAAGATGGCCTCAGCTAAAAACAAACAAAAAACAAACCAAAAAAACCTCCAGAAGGCAGTCCCTGCCAGCCACTGGTGCCACAGCTAGAGTCAATCTGAGACCCGTTTTCTAAGACAATGAACACACTTTGCAAGCCAGGCCCCAGGAAAAGACGACACAGAAAAAACAAGATGTGGGAGAGGACAGGCGGGTTCACGCCCAGGTGCTGCCGATGTAGACTAAGCTAATTATTAAGAACTCCTGAGCCAAAGGCACCGATGAACTTGGCGTTAACACCTAGGACCTGGCCATCCAACACAGACATGGGCTGTTAAGCGTTAGGGCCAGTACCTGTCTGCTAGAAGCACCTTGAGCGTCTGCCCCAGGCCTGCCTGCCACCGGGATCTCACTTCAGACCTTAATCACACACACAGTCCAGATACTTGCTTTTCTCTCTCTTTCCCCCAGTAAAAACTTTTGGGTAACTCTGATGCCAGGTACCACTGTGAAGAACCCATTCTATGCATCAGAACTCCTCAAAGTATAGCATGTGTTCTTGTGCCACCTGAAGAGCTCGTAGAAACTCCCAGTTTCTAACCGGCTCCCATGAGATGAATGCTGAGATGTGTCAGCTGCAGGAGGCAGTGCTTGGCAGAGCAGAGACCCAAGAAGGGCACTTCTAGAAATGCATGGAAAAGAAGTAAAGGCTAATTGATTACTTAGCCAAAAAATATACATTTTTTAAAATCTAGGGATATAAGGGGGTCTGTAAAAACTTGGGAATAAAATGTGTTATTGTGAAAACACACCCAGCCTTCACATTTTTTTTTCATACTGGAATAAAGTTATCTTTGACCCCAATTTTCCATGAACTTTTTGAAATGCTCACAAATTATCACAAGAGATCACGAGGATGACTTAAAATTAAAAACAGGAGGGGCTCAAGCCTTACCCGGCACAGTAGCCTAGCGGCTAAAGTCCTCACTTTCAACGCACCGGGATTCCATTCCTCTTCCCTTCCAGCTCCCTGCCTGAGGCCTGGGAAAGCAGTCAAGGATGGCCCAAAGCCTTGAGACCTGCACTCACATCAGAGACCTAGAAGAAGCTTTTGGCTCCTGGCTTCAGATCAGCTCAGCTCCAGCTATTATGGTCTCTTGGGGAGGGAATCAGCAGTCACATTTCCCTCTCTGTGTATCTGACTTCCCATTAAGTTTAGCCACTGCTTGGGTTGCCCATAGGAGAGCACCTGGTTCAAGTCCTGGCAACTCAAACCTCCTGTTCATGTAGACCCCAGGAAGCAGCAAATGATGACACAAGTACTTCTGGGCCCCTGTTACTTGTGTGGGAGACCCGAATGGAGTTTCCAGGCTCCTGGCTTTGGCCTGGCCAGGCCCTGGCCACTGCAAGCCGGTAGGGAACAAACTTATAGATGGAAGATAGAGTCTCTTGCTCTGCTTTTCAGGTAGGTAAAACTAAACTTAAAAACACAACAAAAGCCGCAAACACCTAATTCCTAAGACAGCCCTTTTTATCATCGTTAAACGACACCATGGAGACCAATAAACAGCCTGGCGGCCAACCATCTCTCAGCAACCAATGACCGCGTGCCATGGCCCCCATCCTCCACTGCCCGGGAGAACTACTGAAGTGCTTCCCTGCTTCAGACCATCACTCACGCCTCTCCTTGACGTGCATTCCCCCGTAACTAAACTCTTACATACCGACTCAGGAGAGCTCTCCCTTCAGTGTGAAGATACGAGTTCCTTTTCACCCCCGAATCCCTTGCTTACCTGGTTCCGTTTCAACCACCTGCTTCACCATCCTCCTCTACTTCACTTCACCCCAGACCAACGCACTGAAAGCTGCCAACGCTTGGTATGACTGCAGTTAATGGGGCCACCGTGGGCGTCCTTCTGCCACTTACAAACCCTGCCCAGCGCGTGGCCGGGAGTGCACCGCCACTCTGACTCCTCGGTTTCATTTCTGCCCCATAACAGCCTCACATTCTGCCTGGCCTCCTGGAGCTCCCAACCGCACCACTGCTGGAACCAACAGGTGTTGGGGGAGAAAACGACTTCCTCTTCCAGGGCTCATCCAAGGGGCAGGGTTTGCAATCATGGCTGCATGGCAGAATCACCTGGAAGCCTCCTTCTTCCCGGCCCCAGCTCCCCCATATCCCCTCTAATTTAACAGTCTGGAGTGTGGTAATGCGTGGCTCGGGGCACACGTGGCTCTTGGGACTACTCAGTTCCTAACTAGAAACTACTGCAGGGAGAAACTGCCTCCCGCCAGGAAAGGCAAAACAACCCTAGTGGAGGAGAGCAGAGGCCGGCTTCCACTTAGAACTCATTTCTTTCCATCGTGGTTCCTACGGGGAAGCCAAGAAACACGTGGAAGGGGGAGGGAGGCTAATTCTACTAAAGATGTCACAGTTTACGGGTTCTCAGCCCCAGCCTTGGAAAAACCGGGGCCGGCCACAGAGCTGAGTTGAGAGCAGCTGTGGGCTTTCTGATGTTGCACCGCCCGCTGGCCAAGGACCCAGGGAGAAGAATCCAGCTCCTCACTCCACCTCCAGAGACCACAGCCTACAGTCTTCTTAGCACACGTTTGTATTACATGCCTTTTTTTTTTTAGGTCACTCATTTTTCCCCCTCCGTATATATATAATGACTGCAGGCTAGCAAAGCAAAACATAAAACTAAACCAAGAATTTTCCTGATTTCATTATTATTCTGAGTATGTCCCCCCTCCCTGCCACCCCAGTCCCCACAAGGTGAGATTCCACTTTCTAGGTTCAGCTTTACTAACTCTTAAAAAAAAAAGAAATAGACTGGAGTCGAAAACGACCCTCAAAGGCGCTACACGTGAGCTGAATGCATTTCCTTAAGGAACTTGAAGCCATTCAAGAAGCAGCTGTGATGCCTGCCCCATCTACCTCGACCCGCCCAGCAGCCCAACCCCGCCAAAGGAAAGCACTGTACCTGATCAGGTCGGGCTCCGCGCCCTCATTCTTGAAGGATGCCAGGAGCAGTCTCTCCCGCGTCACGAGGTCATCCAGCAGGTTCTGTCTCCGATCCCCCTCCAGCTGGGTTCTGCAGGCAGTGTGTTAAGGTCCAGTGGTGGGTCCTTGGCCTTGCTCCCCCTGTTAGCACCTCAGGGTGCTTCTGGTTTCCCACCAGCTCTAACCACTGATACTCTGAGGAGACCTGACCCCCCGTCTGCATGTCCTGCAGCTGTGCCCTTCGGCATCAGAGGTCAAGGACCTAGGCAGTGAGTACCACCGCAGAGGGACTTACAAACAGGGACCTAGCTAGTGTACAAGGCTCCCGGTGGCCAACCCCTAAGGGACTCTCCCAGTCTAACAGGGGCCACCTGGGCTCTGGGGGTCCTTGGTGGTTGAGTTATAGTTACCCTACGATTTTGTTTCTGAAGAGGAGAGGCTATTGTCTGTGAAGACCTCTTTTCTCCATTGTAACCCCTAGTCATCTACCTGGAACAAGGTTTATAAATGTTCCAATTACCAAATCATATATATTTTTCTAATGTCCCTGATCTTTTTCACTTTTTTTTTTTTTAAAGAAAGATCTACTTATCTATCTGAAAGGCAGAGTTAGAGGGGAGAGAGAGATCTTCCATCCTCTGGCCCACACCTCAATTGACTGCAGCAGTCAACTGGGCTGGTCCAGAGCCAGGAGCCAGGAGCAGGGAGGGATTCAAGGACTTGGACCATCCTCTGCTGCTTTCCCAGGTCATAAGCATGGAGCTGGATTGAAGGTGGAGCAGCTGGGATACGAACTGGCACCTACGTGGGATGCCTGCACTGCAGACAGCGAGAGGCCTCCCCTACAGTCCCTAACAGTTTGTTACTAAAATGCACCACGTGTCTTCTAAGGAAAAATCACAAAGAAATAACTGCATTTCAGTGTATTATTGTAATGAGCATTCTAAGTTAGGAGTTCAAAAAGCAAGCTGTTAGTCAACTGTTGTATCTACTGTCTGTTATTTCACCTTTATTGAACTGCAGCACCAGATAAAAACACCTTTTCCAAGACAATTCTACCTTCTTGGTGAATGTTCAAAAATAATATCAAGAACAAATCTAAAGTTTTACATATTAGTCTCCCTGAAACCATACACACGTGTGTGTGTGTGAGAGAGAGAGAGAGAGAGAGAGAGACAGAGAGAGAAGGAGAAATCTGCCATAAAGTGCATGAGTTTTGGAGGAAGCTAACAACACAACTTTAAAAAAGGATCTGACAGAAGATATAAAACAAACACAGGAATAAGCCAGCCCTACTCAATTTTATCTGCTTTTTGCCTTCTTATTAAACTGCCTTTGTTTATGACAGCTCAAAAGCTGGTGAGTCAAAACAGCCCTGGCCACAAGCAACTAGATCTAGTTACAAGAACCAAGACATGAATGAGCCTTGGGGCTCACACAGCCTTTCAAAGGCTTACAAGTATTGCAGCTAGACCCAAAGCAAGTAGACCCAGCTAGTCTCTGTCGTGGTTGCTCCACCTCCAACCCAGCTCCCTGCTGATGTGCCTGGGAAAGCAATGGAGGATGGACCAAGTGCTGAGGACCCTGTTACCCAGGTGGGAGACTGCGATGGAGTTCCTGATCCCCTGGCTGCAGCCAAGCCCACTCTGGGCTGTTGTAGCCATTTGAGGGGTGAACCAGTGAATGGAACATCTCTCTTTCTCCCTCTGTAACTCTGCCTTTCAAATAAAGGAGCCAATCTTTAAAGAAAAAAAGAAAAGAAGAGGAAAGAAGAGGAAAGAAAAGAAAAATGATCAATTTCCAGAAACCAAGGAGGCTGAGCAATGTTTGTGGCTTTAGATAGATACCTGAAAAATGAATTCTCCCTGCAATCCAGAAAGTCATACCTTCCTGAGTCCAATCACTACCATGATTCTCCCGTCTCCTGCTGGACTGACAGTCATGGAACAATCCGTCCTGGAAATTGTGAAGTGGCAAGTGTAACTAAGAAACTGTGAGCTTAAGCACTTCCTCCACAGTAATAAAATAGTCAAATATTGGCCCTTTTTACCAATGCATATCAAGAATATCCATGGTTTTAAAAATATTAACAGTGGATTATCAATAAAGCAGAAGGCTTTCTTCTACCTAAAAGAAACTATACCCAAATTAAATAATAACAATAATAATAGAGGGGTCAGCACCATAGCAGTGAAGCTTCTATCTGCAGTGCCAGCATCTACTATGGACTCCAGCTCATTGCCTCTGGGCCGCTCCACTTCCTATCCAGTTCCTGGCTAATGTGCCAGCAAAAGCAGCAGAGGATGGCCCAAGGACTTGGGACCCTGCACTCACGTAGGACACCTGGAAGAACTGATTCCTGCCTCCTGACCCACCCAGTTCTGACTCTTGCAGCCATTTGGGGAGTGAACTAGTGGAGCGATAATCTCTCTCCTTGCTGTATAACTTTCCCTTTTAAATAAAAATAAGTCATTTACAAAAAAAAAATAGACACTGTGATAAGAATTACACAGCCTGGAGCCAGCACTGAGGCACAATGGGTTATGCTGACCCTGTCATGATGGCATTCCAACCTGAGAACTGGTTCAAGTCCCAGCTGCTCCACTTTCAACCCAGCTTCCTGCTAACGTGCCTGGGGAAACAGCAGAAGGTGGCCTCTGCACTCACAGGAGAGACCCCAAGGGAGTTCCAGGCTTTGGATGGCCCAGCTTTGGTCATTGTCTCTCCTTCTTTCTCTGTAACTCTGCCTTTCAAATAAAAATAAAATAAACCTTTTTAAGAAATGAACAGGGAAGCTGTTTGTAGACTGATAACGATGCTAATTAATGCTGCTAGATGCTTGACTAAATGCGGGGATTGTCTGACATGGAATTATCTCCACATACAGGTGTTAGAGCAAAAGAGAGGGGGTGGGAAGCAGAAGCAGCAAGCAGTAGTTAACACGGTGGTTGGGACGCCCACACACCATACTGGAGCGCCAGGGTTCAAATTCTAACTCCGCTCCGGACTCCAGTTCCTGCTAACGCGCGCAGCCTGCTAGGCAGCAGAAGAGGGCTCAACTACTTGCATTCCTGCCACCCCCAAGGGAGACCCAGATTGAACCTGCAGCTCTCAGCTTCAGCCCAGCACAGCCTTACCTGTTGCTGTGGCATTTGCAGAAAGTTAATTAGGAGCTTTCTCTGCATGCCCTTTAGTGCATCTATGTTCCTCTCAGATACATAAATACATATATAAATTTTAAACTCAGAGGGATAATGTTGAGAGGACCCCAAAACACTCATGGAAAATGCTTATTAGGAAAAAAACTGCACGGATTTCAGAATTTTTTTTTTGTACCAAAGTAACTTTTAATTTCGTTTTCCTACAAACTTTTGAGAATTTTTAGTTAAAGTAATTTTAACATATCTACCCACGTCATGCTTAGGAAAGCCTGGGGTGGTGGGTATCAGCCATCAACACCATCAAGGAGGAAGAATGCGATGGGACAGAACGGAGATGAGGGAGAGGTGAGGAGCCACTGGGGGGAAGGGGAGTTAATAAAAGATACACAGAGGTAGAAAGGTTTTTATTATTATTATTATTATTATTATTACAATAGGGGTAAAAATCTAAAACCCATCAGACACTAGTCACAGATTTTAATGTTAAGAACAAATTGACAGCGATGACTCAATTGTCTGATCCTCATTTCGCAACGGCCAGGATCCCAGATGGGTACCAGTTTGAGTCCTGGCTGCTCCACTTCCCATTCAGCTCCGTGCCTGTGGCCTAGGAAAGCAGCACAAGATGGCCCAGGTGCTTGGGCCCCTGCATCCACGTGGGAGACCTGGAAGAAGCTCCTGGCTGCCATGGCTTTGGATCAACTCAGCTCTGCCACAGCAGCCATTTAGGGAGTGAACCAGCAGATTGAGGATTTTTGTCTCTCCTTCTCTCTGTAAATTTGCCTTTCCAATAAAAATATAAATAAATTTTTTTAAAAGAGCAAATGGCAATTAAGGTATGTCAATTAATTAAAAGTGGCACTACTTGGTGATTACGTTGTGTAGATGAGCTATTTGGACAAAGAGGCTGTGTCTGACTCCTGGCTTTGCTCGCCAACAGGGCAAGGCCCAGCTCTCCTGCCTGGCTTGGAAATGGCCCTCCTGGGCCGGAGCCTGGTCCTTCTCATGTGGGCAGGCCTTCTGCCCTGGCACCATGCTGGCCTTGCCCATCCTGAGGCCTGCAGTCACGGTTCACTTAACTTTCCACTTCTTAGAATCCGGTTAGAAATAAAAACTGGAACAAGGTGACAACAAACCTCATCTGGAAAATCCAAAATAATTCAAATCCTAAACCTCCTGAACTCCAATGTGTTGCTGCATGTGGGACACTCAGTATTACGAAAACTGTTTTGTGCACAAATACATTTAAAACATTGCCTCAAATTCCCTCCAGACCATGTCTATACAATACATGTGGAACGTGAATGAATTTGACATGTTGGACCTGAGCCCTTTCCCCAAGATATTTCATTACCTATATGAAAATATTTCAAAATTCAGACAAACAAAAAACCAAGCGTTTGTGGGTCTAAGCATTTCATACAGGGATACTCAACATATACTACATGAATTCAAAATATTCCATAAAACTAACCAATTAGGAACATCCTATTATTTGGCTTTATATTTGATTAAAAAACAATCTCTTGGGAGAGAAGCATGTAAGGAGGTGGGAAGAGGGAACGTAAACAGAGGACAGGTTAAGGGACCATCGACAAAGCACGAAGTGACCCCTTTGACACGTGCATTCTATGTGTATATGAGCTGGGTGGAATGGAAGAGTGGGGACATGGTGTGACTGTGGCTAAAGGGGACCAGTAGGACATAGGGGCAGCGGTTGGGGCCAGGGACCTCCTCTGGCACCAACTTGAATGATGGGGGGGGGGGGCGTCCCAAGGCCAGATAAGGAAGAAGCGACTGGCGCTGATGAGGTTGCTGGAGGCACAGGGCACCCTGGCCCCCTCTCTGGCATTTTCTCTCAGTTTGAGAGCAGGCTGAGACATTCAGGAAAGTCTTAGTTTGTGAATGGACTGCTCTGCAGTAGGAGGGC